TTTAAAATTCAAAAACTATTTTTTAAAAATCCTTATAGAACCTTCTTACCCAAGTTATTTTTTAGTAAATTTTTCTTTTTTTTAAAAAAAAAAAGTAAATTAGATTGACATCTCTTAATAAGAAAAATACTATAAACTCTACATTTCGAAATAATTATACTAATCTTCCTTAAACGGATATAGTGTGGTTGTTGTGCGGAAGGCATAACTGCGGCCATTTCAACCTGTTTCAAGGCTTGTTTTGAATATGAACTTTTCACATTTTAGAATATATTGAGTAGAATATATCTACACAAAATCAAGTTGATCGGATATCGTTAACCCTTTTATTGAATTGTATTTGTATTTAGTTTTATATTTCAAATCAAATTTGCTATTCATTTTTGTAGATACAAATATAATTCGATAAAATGATTAATAATATCCGATCAATTTAATTTTTTACAGATATGTTCTACTTAATATACTTTAAAATGTAAACAGTTTGGATCATTAAAACCCAAATAGTCACACAACAGTAACTATTGTGCCTTCTACATTGCAATCACACCACATCCTTCTTAAACAGTAGTTCTCTTGTATAGGAAATTCCAAACATAGCATGCACAAATAAGAAGAGAGTGTGGGGCTATTAAGTAATTCATCATACAAGGTGATTGCAAAAAAAGTATGAGCCATTTATACACATGTCCTAATGTATAAACTTATACTTCATTAAGTTCTAATTAAGATTTTTTGGACCTTCAAGTCTCATTAAATTTTTAATAGTCGGAATTACTTTTCAAACAATGGTTATTTATCATTTATGATTATCTATAAAAGAAGATAATGATTTGACATTTATTTTGATTTTCAAAACTTTAAAATATCAATTTTCAAATTGAAAAAACTAAAAAAAAAATTGTGTGCAAAAAAAAAAAAAAAAAAAAACTAATCACTCTGTTTATTTCCAGTTTTTAGAATTCACTCTTCAAAAAATTCTACTTTTTTCTTTTTCGTATTTTTTATGTTTTCACTGAATTTTTTTAACATTTTAAGTTTTTTGTTTTTAAATTTTAGACACACCTAACATAAATAAGTTTAAAAAGTATAATATTTGTGAAAAAAATCTTTGAAAAATTCACTAAATACCAAAAATACAAAAAAATTGAAAATTCAGTACATTTTAAATTTTTTTAAATATTTTTTCACAAATAATTTATTATTTTGATACACTCAAGTAAGGTACATCTAAAAAAGTAAAAAAAAAAATGTTTAAAATTTAAAAAATATTCACTAAAAACAAAAAATTTAATTTTCAAAAAATTAGATTCAGAAAATTGAAACCAAACACACATAATATTTTTTTTTTGAAAAAATTAAATTTATTTTTTGTGCAAAATTAAAATTTTTGTGTCTATAAAGGAGCATGATAATGGAACACTGATGTGTAAAATAAAAATAAAAATAAAAATAAAAATAAAAATAAAAACTGATAATATGTTCAATTTTATTGGATAGTTGAATCAAATCAATAAGTAGAAGGGTAAAAACGTTTAATCTCATACTTTGTTTTTTTTTTATCAGTTAGTGAAACAATTATTTGGAATATTATTATGCAAAATTAATAATATTCGTAGTTTTAAAAATTGAGAAAAATTAATAATATTCTCATTTTTACTAATAAGATTTATTGGTTCAAAAAATGTTAGATAGGACCTAAGCTAATATAACATTTGTAAATAAAAATTCAATAATGATTCATCCCCCTTTTCCCCCATCCCCTTTGACCCCCTCTTTCTCTCATTGGTTATATTTTCTTTTTCATTTTCTTTTTTTTCCTGCTCCTCCAATCACCACTCGTCACGTGGCAAAGGGGGTGAGGGGGTGACCCCCAAAAGGGGGTCCCAAGCATTATTCCTAAAAATTTTAGGTAATTAACTCAAGTAATTTATTTACAAAAAAAAGTTTAACCTCTCCCACAGGGTAAATTGGAAAAATTAACCTTAAATTTATTTTTTTTCTCCAACATAAGTTTTTGATGTCAATAATGATTTTTTTTTATATAATTAAAAATTGGATTTTATGGCTAATTTTCCAAATTTGCCCTTTATGTAAGTCTCATATGATATACTTAACTCTTAAAAGTAGACAAAATGTAATACCTTTGGTCCTACTTTTTCAATTGTAACACATTTAATCTTAAATTTTAAATCTTATTTTAAATGAGGATAATTAAATATACCACCAAGGGAAAAATTGTCGATTTGTTACAATATAAACTTATTTGACAAAAATAAATGTCACAAAAATATTTTTGAATTTTTTAAAATTATTTTTACCCACCAAAAATAAAATTATGTAAAATTGAGAAATCTTTTAGACATTTATTTATTTTACCAAATTAATTTTTATTATGTGTTTGGATGATGGTCATGTAATGAGTAATTGTTAGGATTTTAATGTGTAATCGATATATTTAATATATGAAATATTTTTAGTTTTTGATTTTTTTATTTAATAGATTGGTTTAATAATGATCTCAAAATTGTCGCCATATTTGTCTTTTAGAAAAATATAAACTAATTTTATGAAAATAAAACAACCACACATTATATAATCATCATTTAAAAACATAATAAAAATTAATTTGATAAAATAAATAAATGTCTAAAAGATTTATTAATTTTACGTAATTTTATCTTTAGTGGATAGAAATAATTTTTTAAAATTTAAAAATATATTTTTGACATTTATTTTTATTAAATTAGTTTATTTTTTTACCACGTCTAATTTCGCCAAAAACATGATAACAAACTACTTTTCTTGAATTTAAATCAATTTTAACATTTTATCATTATCATTTTGACCAAAAAAATCAAAATGATTTATTGAGATTTTGCTCAAACAAATTGGTTATGTCAATTTCCAAAATTATGTTTACATAATCTATTTTATTTTCCTTTTTTAATTCTCAAAACCTTTTTACATTAAAGATAAGAAAAATACTTATCATTGTCTAATTAAACATGCAAAAAGTGCATTGATTGAAAGTGCTTTTGAAATATGTAAAAAAAAAAAATTAAAATTAAACAAAATAATTAACATTTGATTCCTTTATTATTAATTAATTGAGCTGTTTTAGTATGATCGTTAAAAATATCACTTCCAACTTACTATATTTGGCCATAATTAGATATATATATATATATATGTATATAAAGAACAACAAAAAAAGGATAGAGACAAAAATGAGTATTATAGATGTGAGCACTTTACAAAAGTTTCGATACCATCGTCCAACTTATATGGAAGAGAAAAGTGAAAGCTTTTTAATTTTTAATTTTATTTGATTTATATTACAATTGGATCGAAGAAGAGTAATAGGGGAAAATTTATTATTGTCCGTCTTATATTCCTCGTGAACAAAAATAATTGGAATCTGGCCAATTAATTTGTTTTTAATCGCCCTTCGTCACGTCATTGTGATTGAGATTTGATTATTATCGCCGTCTTATTATTCTGGCCAACAAATATTATTGGACCATATTCAATTAATTAGTGTTAATTGCTTGATTTCTTAAATATAATTGGGATTTCAGAATCAAAAAACATGCATACCAACAAATGAAAAATGGTGAATTTAAGTCTCCATCTGTACAATGCAGTACAGCATGTGATAATTAATTAAGTTAATTATACATTAGAGTTCTCTTGTTCATTGCAACTTTGGATTTGTTGTAATAAATTATGTTGGTTTATAGTCATAATCACAAGTTTAATTACTTTAAGTAAAAGAATAGGTGTTCGGTTATACCTAAACTTGGAGAACAAAAACTTTGTCTTATGGTCTGCTAGATCGTCAGCTGTCACTGTTAAAATTTGACAATAGATAAAGAAAATCTTTACACTTCATGGGTTCAAAATTAATCTTTTTATTTGACATTATGAAATATATTATTTTAAATGGCATTTGCACAATTAAATGAAAATGTCAAAATAACATTTTGAAAACAATATGTATCTCTGGCTATTAAACAAATTGTTGGTGATAATTACAAATAAAACACTAGAAAATACAAATAATAAAAATTACAGTAACTATTGTAAGGGCTGAGACGCGGGAAATTCGCTCTCTTTAAGGAGATTCAAACCCTCTGCGGTTAGGTAATACCTCACACCGGTGCAGCAGAAAAAATCTTGACTTGTTCCCCCAGGATACAACAGCTCGAGTAAGTCGTATGATTAACCAATACTGCACAATTGGTTGAACCCAAAACTTTATCACATACACCCTTTTTATTTGCCTGATAATCTCACACAAAACATAATAAAGCAACAAAAAACTTCTTCTTCTTACCAAGATAAGAAGTTAGATCAATATATAAAAATGAAAACTTGTTAGGCAAGTGTTTTTGGTGGAGAAGTTTTCTGAAGACTTGGCGAAGACTTGACTTGGACTTGGAAGACTTGTATGGTGGGCAAGCAAACTTGGTAGAAAAGAAAAGAAGACTAAACCTATAACACATTATAATATTAAAATATCTGCTAACACAAAACAAACTATTTGATTCATAATGGCTCATTAAAAGTGTAAGAGGGGCTAATTTCAGCCTACTAAATTATTTAGGCCCAATAGCCCAAGATTAGTGGGCCCGAATTTATCGCAAGTCCAAGACTGGCGAGACCAGATTTATCACCATCAAACGGGCTAAATGGCTCTAAGCCTCGAAAGGGTTCGGATCCACGAACCTAGTGGATGGCAAAAGTAAAAGAGAAAGAAAGGAAAAGAGAGGGTTTAAAGGGAGAGAGAGAGAGGGAGTGGGTGGATTTAAAAAAAAAAAAATGTTTTCATCACATGTGTGTCTATCAATCCCGTGGGTGTGTGTGGGAGTGTGTGTTGTGTTGGGTCTGTCAATCCCGTGGGTGTGTGTCTTGTGTGTCTGCTGTGAGTGCCGTGGGTGAGTATTGTGTGAGAGAGAGAAGCCTAGAAATCTAGAGAGAGAAGAGAGCTGGGTTTGGTTCCTTCAAACACTTGTACTTCTACACTGTCTTGAGCCGATCCTTCTAACAACGAAGGATGGACAGCCTTAGCTTAAAGTCATTTGCTACAGCTTCCTTTTGGCCAATGACTCCAATTTGGCAGACCCCACATCGCAAAGTAAAGTTGGCAGTGTCGGTGTAACTTCTTTTCCTTTGTTGTTCCCTAACAAGATTAAGAGCAAGCCGTTCAACCATTCCAACAGTTCCATCCTTCATAAAAATTGTCTGATCAAACTCTTCTGGAGCTCCATCAGATGGAGACATAGCCAAAGCATCATAATGGAGCCCATCATAAATGAGCATAACCCTTTCATGATAGTTCTTTCCCTGTCCATACAAATCGCATCTCAAGGTTTGGATATCATATGCTGCAATTTCACGTCCATAATAAGCTGCTAATATTGCAAGCTCTATGGCACCTCCCCACTTCTCTGGGTCAAGAATCCAGGTGCAGTACTCTTCATTTGGCTTCCCAAGGAATGCTTCAGAATATTGTGTCGGATCACTTGCCACTGTCGCAGCTATAACCTGTCTCAACTCGGGAGCTTTGTTTTTGTCATGGTCCATAACATACCCAACAGCATTGAAGAGGCAACTGTTGTCTGAAGGAATGACCCTCCAGTGATCCACAGCGACCAGAAACCAGCTACACGTGTTCCAGTTCGCACACTGCTCTTCAAGGCAGCCGTGGTCACCACCATCAGCAACAAACATGCGAGCCGACTGTGCAGTTGCTTCCAAACTTCCACAGATCATGGTCGGCGGTGGTGATCCACCGAGAAGAGAGAGAGCCCAGGTGCAGAGAGAGAGAGGAACATGAATCCATCGTTGTCGCCGGACCTCTCGACGAGCTCCTGGAAGACGGGGTTGTCAACGACGTCGGAGCCGACGAGGTAGCGACGGCGAGACTTGCCGACGTAGACGGGGTGGGGGGCTTTGGAGATCTTGTCGTTGTTGTTGTGGAAAGAGGAGGAGTAGTCATCGTTGGAGGAAGAGTGGGTTGAGGACGAGGCGGCGGTGACGACGGAGCCGCCGTAGGTGGAGCGGCTGCTGAGCTGTTTGCTGACTTGAGCTTGGTTAGTTTGCCTCCTTTTGCCATCTTATTGTATATGATTAACCAGTGTGGTTCAAGACTTGGTTGAGAGACATGTGCTTAGTTTTCTCATCGTCCGGCGGGCGGCCAGGGCGAGGCTGCCGCCCGCCGGTGAAGCGAAATTACTAGGTTGTTAACTTGGCTCTGATACCATGTAAGATAAATTGATAGAGAGAGATACAGAGAGAATGAATTATGTATATTGATTTATGTATTGAATGTATTTTGTACAATGGTTCAGGAGCTCCTTATAAAGGAGAAGTTTACAAACAATGCACCCAAAAGCAACCGAAAGCAAAGACATCATGATCAGGTAGGACACACTTTACAGCTAATAACAACATAGAATACACTAACAATATAATGCACTAACACTCATATCTATCACTAAACAGATTTTCTATTTGTTTATATTATATAATAAAAAAAAAACGTACATTTATATTTCAAAGTAGTATTTTGGTTTTTAATTCGTCAAACCTTGTAAATTAGTGTTCTCACCAATTGGCTTGTTATTTATTTATTTATTTTTAGTCCACAAATATTATTTTTTAATTGGTTTGGTGAAAAGAATGATCTAAAGCAAGATCTTAGAAGACTTTTAAAAGAAATCTATTATTTCTTGATATTTATTGATTTTTTTACCACGTTTAATTTCACCGAAAACATGATAACATACTACTTTTCTTGAATTTAAATCGATTATAACATTTTATCATTACCATTTTGACCAAAAAAATCAAAATGATTTATTGAGATTTTGCTCAAACAAATTGGTTATGTCAATTTCCAAAATTATGTTTACATAATCTATTTTATTTTCCTTTTTTAATTCTCAAAACTTTTTTACATTAAAGATAAGAAAAATACTTATCATTGTCTAATTAAACATGCAAAAAGTGCATTGATTGAAAGTGCTTTTGAAATATGTAAAAAAAAAAAATTAAAATTAAACAAAATAATTAACATTTGATTCCTTTATTATTAATTAATTGAGCTGTTTTAGTATGATCGTTAAAAATATCACTTCCAACTTACTATATTTGGCCATAATTAGATATATATATATATATATATATATAAAACAACAAAAAAAAGAATAGAGACAAAAATGAGTATTATAGATGTGAGCACTATACAAAAGTTTCGATACCATCGTCCAACTTATATGGAAGAGAAAAGTGAAAGCTTTTTAATTTTTAATTTTATTTGATTTATATTACAATTGGATCGAAGAAGAGTAATAGGGGAAAATTTATTATTGTCCGTCTTATATTCCTCGTGAACAAAAATAATTGGAATCTGGCCAATTAATTTGTTTTTAATCGCCCTTCGTCACGTCATTGTGATTGAGATTTGATTATTATCGCCGTCTTATTATTCTGGCCAACAAATATTATTGGACCATATTCAATTAATTAGTGTTAATTGCTTGATTTCTTAAATATAATTGGGATTTCAGAATCAAAAAACATGCATACCAACAAATGAAAAATGGTGAATTTAAGTCTCCATCTGTACAATGCAGTACAGCATGTGATAATTAATTAAGTTAATTATACATTAGAGTTCTCTTGTTCATTGCAACTTTGGATTTGTTGTAATAAATTATGTTGGTTTATAGTCATAATCACAAGTTTAATTACTTTAAGTAAAAGAATAGGTGTTCGGTTATACCTAAACTTGGAGAACAAAAACTTTGTCTTATGGTCTGCTAGATCGTCAGCTGTCACTGTTAAAATTTGACAATAGATAAAGAAAATCTTTACACTTCATGGGTTCAAAATTAATCTTTTTATTTGACATTATGAAATATATTATTTTAAATGGCATTTGCACAATTAAATGAAAATGTCAAAATAACATTTTGAAAACAGTATGTATCTCTGGCTATTAAACAAATTGTTGGTGATAATTACAAATAAAACACCAGAAAATACAAATAATAAAAATTACAGTAACTATTGTAAGGGTTGAGGCGCGGGAAATTCGCTCTCTTTAAGGAGATTCAAGCCCTCTGTGGTTAGGCAAAGCCTCACATCGGTGCAGCAGAAAAAACCTTGACTTGTCTCCCCCTAGATACAACAGCCCGACTAAGTCGTATGGTTAACCAATACTGCACAATTAGTTGAACCCAAAACTTTATCACATACACCCTTTTTATTTGCCTGATAATTTCACACAAAACATAATAAAGCAACAAAAAACTTATTCTTCTTACCAAGATAAGAAGTTAGATCAATATATAAAAGTGAAAACTTGTTAAGCAAGTGTTCTTGGTGGAGAAGTTTTCTGAAGACTTGGCGAAGACTTGACTTGGACTTGGAAGACTTGTATGGTGGGCAAGCAAACTTGGTAGAAAAGAAAAGAAGATTAAACCTATAACACATTATAACATTAAAATATCTGCTAACACAAAACAAACTATTTGATTCATAATGGCTCATTAAAAGTTTGTGTCAAATGGCCCCGTTTGAGAAATTGGGTTAGAGTTAAAATAGTTAATAAATCAAAACACCTAATCACATCACTTTCTTTATTTTTTTTACACATCTTTTTATAAAAAGTCAATTAAAATAACTTATTCCCAAACCTATAAACAAGTTAAGTTTGAACATAATTTTGTGTTTGTCAAGTTTTTAAGCCAACCTTGGCTTAATAACGTATACGCAAGATAAAAAAGTTACTCGAATTTGACTTACTAAAAATCCGTCCAAGATTGACTCATTATGTAAATAATTCAAACTTAAACATATATTAAATTGTATTTAATTTTCAAATCAAATTTAAATAACTTACTGCTTGAATCATTTACTACCTTATACGTAGATACAAAATGATAAAGTCACTAGGGTACTCTGTTTGGAGACTAGAAGTTTTAGCCAAAAGACACTATAAGTTATTATATTATTCTCTCTATTTTCTTTGAACGTCTTTTATAAAATATCAAAAAATCAATTAAAATAGGCAACTACTAAACTGGGATTAGTGACATCTCATACAGTAACACTGATGCTAAAAGGTACACCTTATAATTATGTGAAATTGCATTTTGCACTCTCTTTTCTTCCTAATGGTTTATCAGTTGAATTAATACACAAGTTGGTCTTCTTCATTGAGCTGCCATACCATAAAGGTTAGAAAAAGAAAGAAGTATCAACGATAATTTAAGATATTTCAAGGTTTCAATTTAGCTGTATTTCTTAATGTTCGTCCTTTTTGTCAGGCTGATGAACTAACCTATATTCTATAGGTGGAAAGATTCAAAAAGAGTAGCTACTGTTGTGTTCTTCTTTGGCTGCCTTCACTCTGTGGAGACTTTGAATACCAAAAAAGATATACAAATCGAAAAATTTGATCACTGTATCTATTTACTAACATTCGCGAAGGTTGGTGATTTGGGAGGTCGAATATTTTGGTGATTGTAGCAATGATGTTTGAAAAATAAGAATATAGTTCTTTTTGAGAATAAAAAATAAGACGATCCTTCTAAGGTGTGTCGTATTAGTCTTGATCGTACTCACAAATTTTTTCAAGATATTTTGTAGGTAGCGACTCTAATAATGTTTGTTTGTAGTGATGTTAAAAAAACAAATTAGTATCATTTCCATTTTTGATATGTCGTTTTTTTGTATTTTCATGCTCAACAATTTACCTATTTTTTTGTAGCGAAAAATATTTTTGATAATTAAAAAAAAAAACAAACCAAACATGCTACTTAATGTAAATTATTCAACTCTAAATTCTACAAATTCTTTAGAAAATCACACTTATTAATATCCATAATTATTTTCAATACATCATGACCTAATTTAAACATTTTAAATTTTAAATAATTAATTATTTATTTATTATTTTAACAAAAAAATTGCAAATACGTTCTGTGACACAACATGTTACTAGCAGCTTAGCCCTTTGCTCATAAAAAAATAGATAGATAGATATTTTTTGATAAACACAATAGAATATATTATATGTTCTTTTTTTTTTTTTTGGAAGGTTTATTAGAAAATCTTTTTTCAGGTACTTGTATCTTAATTAGTTCATAAGATATTTTTGTATTTCAATAAGTCCTATTATTTGAACATTTGATCTACCAGATCCTAATTCTCATATTTAAAGTATTTTATGGACATTTCTACCCTTACAAATATTTTTTGAATAGTTAGTAATTTGGTGATGTGAACATTCTTATTTTACAATGTGAATATTCACATTAACGTGTGAATGTTCATATTGATAATATGAATATTCACATTGACATGTTAACATTCACATTAATAGTATGAACATTCATATTAACTGTATGAACTTTCACATTGACGATGTAAATATTCATATTGACGGAGTGAATATTTACATCACGGAACATTTATATTATAAATGTGAATATTATTAAGGGTATTTTAATAACTATATCACTTATAAAACTTATTAAAATATAAAAAAATAATATAAACTAAATAAAATATAAATAAATAAAAAGTGATTTATGAAAAAATGTCCCTTTTTTTTTAGAAGGTATATTCTTAACGTTTTTGAAAAGTCGTTTGATTTGGTTAAACCCATGTTTTTAATGTGGCGCGCAGCCCATGGGCGTTGACAAGCTTCATGAAATAACTGTCCGACATTATTATCAAATCAAATTGTTCAATTTGCATAAATTGGAAGGTTTTGTGCGTTTTCATTTCATTTCAACCAGTTTTCAAATCGTTGACCATATAAATGTGAACTTGAAGAGTCTTTTCCAATGAACAACCATGGATTGAATGAAAAGAATAAGATTGCATGGTCAAAATGTCCAAAGTCCCCCAGAGTAATAGTTCGGTTCAAGTCTAATGATGAGAAGTTATATGATAATTCTAAGGCATGGTCGGGTGGTGTTCTAAGAATATTATGATTGGTGAAAAAAATATGATTCACAATTTAGTGTTAGATGATGAAGAACATTAAAAATGCATAATTGGTGGAAATACTATGCCTCCAGACCACTTAATAATTTTTTGTATTGATGGGCCAGGTTTTCAACAATAAAATATGAGTTGGGCTGGGATCAAATGGTAGGGCCCATGATTTGATCCATAAGCTTTGCCCAATGGGTTATCTGAAGTTGGAACCATAGGCCGACTACAAAGGTCTTAGAAGAATTTTCTTATCAATCCAACAACCTATTATTAGAAAAATCAAATTGCTCATTCGAGGTCTTAGAAGAATTTTCTTATCAATCCAACAACCTATTATTAGAAAAATCAAATTGCTCATTCGAGCACAATTTTTTATTGGAAAATGCTCCGTACGTAGCTCGAGAATGTGAGGCTCGAATGGCGCGAATTGTACGAAAAATATTATCTTGCCGGTAAAAGAATCAAAAAACATCCTAAAACGACGTCGATTTGAGATTTTGAGCCACTCGAGCCACGAAAAATTTGAGCTACGAATCAGAATCGTTTTTTATTATATAAAAACAAGTTAAAGTCAAACTTTTAAGGTCCTTTGATAATCGAGCCAAACTTTAACAGAATAAAGGTCAATAGATTCGTGAAAATAAAAATTTGGCCTCCATTTAGTAAGTCTTTCAAATTATAGTTTCACCCATTGATTTGAGTGTGGTGTTTGTTTTGAAATTTTAAATCATAATTCTGCATCCATTTCTCAAAACTGAATTTAAAACATAATCATTATTTTTTAAAATTCCTAACCAAACACATAATTTAAAACTCTTTTCAAAACTCGATTCAAATCAATATTTTAATTTTTTAAATATTTTAAATATTTAAATATTTTAAAAGTATTTTAATTTTGTTAAGATTTTAAATATTTTAATATTTAAATATGTTAAGATTTTTTAAATTTTTTGAATATTTTAATTTTTAAATATTACAATTTTAATTTTTTAAATTTTAAAATATTTTATAAAAATAAATCCAAACTCTATTTTATAAAAATATTTTTAAATATTTTAATTTTTTTGTTATGTATTTGGTTACGATTTGAGTGTATAGTTGTGAAAGTAATATGAAGTTTCGAGTTATGTATTTGGTTAATTTAAATTTTTTGAATATTTATTTTAATTTTTTACTTATTAAATTTTTTAGATTATTTAAATATTTATGATTTAAATTTTTTGAATATTTATTTTGAAAAAAAATTATTTCCTTTGTAGTATTTTCAATTAAAAAATTAATTAATATTATTTTCTGTTAATAATAATTTTTTTAATTGAATTTTAAAAAAGAGTTTGGTTATGAGTGTTGATCAGAATTTTCAATACTGTGAAAGTAGTGTGTTTTGTTATGAGTTATAACAATTTGAATTAAGTTTTGAAAACTCTTTCCAAAACTCATAACCAAACAAATTTTCTTACTTCACATGTTAAATCAAACTTTCAAAACTCAATTCCACATATAATTCAAAACTCAATTCAACACTCTATTCAAATACCATAACCAAACAAATTTTCTACACTCAAATCATAATTTCACAACTCACAAACTCAAAATACAACTCATACTCTCAAATCATATTTACAAAACTCTACTAAACGCAACCCTAATTTTTTAACTTGGCATTGCCACAAGCATTACACTCAAACTCCTTGTAATGCCACATTGCATTGCTTGTTTCATATTGAAAGAATAGATCAACGATAAATATTATTGTCTAAAGATGCATACTTTTTTTACTCTTATTTTTATTTATTCGTATATGTGTACATTTTTTTATAATACAATAAAATTAAAACTGAAAAACTATTGAGTAGTATGTTAACTATTAAATTAATAGTTATATTTCAATGAGATTAAAGATGCGTAAAATTTAATAGCATAATGGACAAAATTTTATATTTCAATACATAATGTTCATTTTTTAGTATATGTAATTATAATTGTTGTTATGCACTTTAAATTTTGGCAATATAATTTCTTGTTTTTGTCCCAATAAATTTTGGACTTAATAAAAAAACTCATTAGCCCATGGGTAGGGCTTGGATTTTAGAAATGTAGGATAGATTGGCCCAATTCTAGCCCGTTGTTGGCTAGTCAAACTCTATGTAATTGGGCCTGGGCCCTAAATTTTAGGCAAAAAAATTAGGCTTGGCCCATAAGACCTTATATGTAAAAGTTTTTATTTTTTTTAACAAGTTGAATAAAATTGTGGGGAAAAAAATTAAAAAATTAAATATACAAAAGTTTTTTTCTTAAGAAAATCAAAATATATGAATGTATTAGCAAAATTTAAATAAGATTTTCACATATATCTTAAGTTTGTTTAATAGTTAAATAACTTGACTAAAATATTTATAAAAAAAAATAAGATATAAAATAAAATTTAAAATCAAACTACATGATAATGATAGCAAGTGTATTGGGAGGAGGTCGATTTAAAACAACAACAATGATTTATCCCACTAAAAATATCACCACTAATAACACTAATGCATTAAAAAAAGGTAAAAAAAGAAAAAGAAAATACAACTCCAAGACCAAAACATCACATCATTAATGACGAGACTCACTGCCACCTAATTAGTGGGAACACTTTAGTGCTCCCAAGCATTTTTCTTAAAACAATGCACTACAGCTTACACGCCATGATAAATTATGAATTATGGTTAGACCTTGTTTTGAGTTAGCTAAATAAGGTACTTTTTTGACTTATTAAGATTTCGATTGAAGAGTTTGAATTTTAAAAAGTTATTAAAAAAAGTAAAAAAACTAACAAATTATACACATAAAATAAAAAGTCAAAAATTTCATTTTCTTTATACTTTTTACACATTTTTTGTAAAAAATTAAAACGTAATTTCAAATATATTAATTTTTTTACATCATAATTTAGTTAAAAAGTAAAAAAATTACTAAAATAATTAGCTAAAATATTAAAAAATTATTAAAATAATCTTTTCGCAACGAAGCCTAAATACATAAAAAAGTAAAAAAATTGATTGTTATTAATTAAGAAAAAATAAAAGCTATTTAATTTTGCTCCTCAAAAAAAAAAAAAAAAAAAATTCTCGTAAGCACCAAATTCATTTATTTTTTTAATTATTAAAACTTTAAAAAATCATTTATTTTTTTAATTATTAAAACTTTAAAAAATCATTTAAAAAAATGACAAAAAGGTATTTATTCTGACGGCACTGATTTGGCATCCACAGATTGATATGATGTGGTTGCTTCACAGAATAACCCATTTCATACTTTACCGTTCGATATTAGGGCTCCAAAACAATCTTCGCGAAATCGAGCTCTCAAGTAGTACTCTTCTAGTTGCAGAGCAGAGAGAGAGAGAACATTTAGAGAGGGGAGAGAGAGAGAGAGAGAGAGGAGAGAGAATGGCGAACGAAGCAGACATGGGTAGCTGGACCGATCTTCTCCATTCATCTTCGAAGCTTCTCGAACAAGCAGCTCCGTCAGCTCAGTTCCCTCCTCTTCAGGTTCATCCTACACTTCACTTTTCCACTCCGTTTGGTTCCCGAGAAAACTCGAGAAATCAAAAGAAAAGGAATTTCGAGCACGTGCTCTATGTTTGTTGATTTTGTTTAATTCAAAAATAAAAATGCTTGAGTCGCTTGGTTAAGTTAAATTGTTATGTGAGGCATAGTGTATTGGAGGCTTATGTTTTTTTCTTGACTGAGCATTCATGAATTTATCATTGTTTTTGGCCTAAAATCATAAATTCTGTTTTTTTTTTTTGGTTCTTCAGAGGAACTTAGATCAATTGGAGGCATTGTCGAAAAAGCTAAAGGCGAAAACCCTAAGAACTGAAGCTCCTACTCAATCTATTGCTGCCACGAGGTACTTCATATAAACTCGCATCACTTATATGCATTATAAAAATACATACAGATGTGTACACTTTTCTCAAGACGAATTTGAAGCAATGATAATTTATGAGTTTGGATGATGAGAAAATACAGGAAAGGAAATTAGAAGTTTGTAACAAATTAGGTTTGCAATGACTGTTTTGAGATTCCATAGTTTAGTTAATAACTGCGGAGGATATCTCATTATCTTTTCCAACTTGGGTTTGCAATGACCTCTCTTTCCTGAAATTCCTCAGCAATTAACCATTTGAGAATGTCTGATTGATGAGTGTCAATAGGTTGATATTCTTTCATACTTTTGAAGTTTTTCTTAATTTATATGCAGGCTATTAGCTCGTGAAGGAATAAATGCAGAGCAGCTTGCTCGGGATCTTAAATCTTTTGAATTAAAGGTAACTGTTTTATATCTTCAACTTGATGCATAATTTTCTGTTCTCATTGATTGCCACTTTTGGTATTTGTATTAGAGTAATTCAATTGTTTCGTTAATTTGAATTTCTGTATGAAGTGAATGTAATTGTGCCATGGGTTTCCACAGTTTTGTCCATTTGGACTAGAAAATGAAGAATTTAGTTACGCAGAGGTTCTGTAAAATCCATGTGAGCATGCATGTTGATATATAAATATATGTTGCTTTTATCATCCACAACTTGTGGCAATAAAGAATTCACAGTCATTTAGTTGTATTCTCAGTTGGAAATGTGGACATGATGAAGTGAATACAGCTTCATTATGGTCTTCTTAGTGCTGTCTAGGAGTATCAGAAAGTTTGGGTTGTGCTTTTTGAGTGTTTACTCAATTTTTTTAGGGAAATTTCTCAGTAAGTCTAACTTTTCTCGTGAAACATCCGTTGAGTCCTATTAACACATAACAACCCTCTCAACATAGTGTAATTGGACTAAATGAAAATTTCATGGGAAAAGTAGAACTTATTTGATATTTTTCATTTTTTTTTATTCTTTCTTTCGTCAATAGGAGGGGAATAAGGAGGGAGAAGCTGCATTTTGCAACGGTGAGACTCGAACCCAGATATGTCACTCATAGTTTTTAAGGGTAGTGCCTCAACCCACTAGGCCAACCCTTTCTTTCTCAATTGCTTTATGCAAGCATGGTACCAACAATTTTGGAACGTCGGACTCATTGCCAACCAAATTATTTTTTGCACAGAAGTTTGGTGCTTCGTATGAGCACATTCTCATCCCTCCAATCTCAACACACACAGCAACAGTGGACTAAATGGCAAGGGTAATGCAAAGATTCTTTACCAATTAGGCTAGTCAACACTGCCATGGGCTACTTTGAGTCAGACTTCCAGTTTAGCAGAGCTATCTTTATGGCCTTTATCTATTTTTCTAGTGACTATGAAGAAAACAGTACTTCACATTTCTTATGTTTGAGATCAGTTAAGGAGTTTGCAAATGCTCTTCCTTCTTTTCAGTCCACCACAATGAGAACTAATGCATGTTTTGTGGAACTTTTACTGTTGCCCCCTCCTCAGCTATCAGGCATTGCTCGAGTGTTCCCATGCCTGATAGCTCTACAGGAACTTTTACAATTACCCCTCCTCAGCTAACTCAACCTCATACCGTTTAAACATGTTTTGTCTACCATCGTCCTTTGAATGAAGAATATTTTGATTAGAGAGAAAGAGAACAGTTTACACAAAAAATAATTAGATTTATATGAAAATATCAACAGGTTTTTGTTACGTAAAATTGAATTTGGATGATCTAATCCATGCATGTATAGAGATTTTTGCATCTTATTGTAACTTGTAAGTGATGTCACTTGAGTTTTTTTTTTAAATTTTAAAAAGCTTTTTTTTGTAAGATAGAGTTTTTATGATTTCTTGACTTTTTTTTTTTTCCCCCACTTAGCATTGTTTATTTTTTTATCCATCCTCTCATATTTTAACTTTATTCTTCAAGACGACTTTTGAAGATGTTTTCCCTGCTGAGGCAACAAGCGTGGAAGAGTATCTGCAACAGGTAACTTTTATTCGTTTTGTTGTTTATTGACAACATAATTTCAAAATATTGATATTCTAGCTCTTTCTTTCTTGCATTGTTGTGTGTAAATTTTTGCTCACATTGATCAACGGAGAGAAGTTTGTAAATTTTGGTTCATATTGCAATACAGAGAAAATAGTTTTTCTTTACCATTCACTTTGTTGTGTGCCATTATATCATGGAATACCAATAAAAGTAAAGTAGTTTTAACTTTGGTTTTTATTTATGTGAATTCCATGGAATTAGAAAAAAACATTTTTTTTTGTCATGCATATCAATGTAGTGTTCGAGCATTCACTGTTATATAATATATATCAGTGCTGCAATTATTTTGAGATACCATAAAGAAATTCATTTTCAAATCTTGTGCAATAATCAATTTGCCTTTAGTGGGTGATATAGGTAGGCGTTATTAATTTATTTCAGTGGCAATACGGTCCCAAAAGCAACTGCATGTTTGTCTTTATGCGAGCACGTTAGTGTGTATGCATGGCTTACTATGTATCCTTCACCTTATATCCTACATGCTTGCCTTTCCTTTTGGAATGTTAATAATAGTTTAAGATGTGATAGGGCCCAGTTGGCATGATGTTCTCTACTGCATATATTATACTTCCATGTGTGTCTGTCTTTTTCTCGAAGTCTACAATTCAAATTGGTATGTTGTAGAGGACCACTTTATATAGATTACTAGTCACAAATCCAGAGGTGGAACTGTTTGATGGTGAAGTTTTCCTGTCTTCTGCATTGATATCAGCAATCTGTTCATTATGTGTAAAGCTTGATGAATTATCTTGGTTTTACATGTTTGACAGTGCTATAAGAGTAGTGGTGCTGTATTTCTGTGTTATTATTATTATAGTATATATTTTTTAGGTCTGCCAGTCAATTGCATGATACTGAATGTGTTGCATATCACAATGCATTCAGTCACTTTTCATGCACAGGCACACACTATTTTTTTCTTAGCTAGAAAAATGTTTAGTTGTGTGGTCACATCGAACTTCAACATGTTCACATCAGGTACATGAGATGGCAATGGTTTCAGCTATTCAGGAAGCTCAGAAGGATAACCTTAGAAGTTTTAATGATTATATGATGACAGTTTTGGAGGTTAGTATGCCAGAATTGGCTCCATTATATCTTTAGTTCTTTTCCTCTGTATCATCATCCCTATCATTGTCCCTATGTTTCAGTCCTTCTCATGTTGGTTGCACCTTGCTAGTTCTAATTTTTCTGTTCAGATTACATGGAGTGGCATGTGAACTAAAATTATTTGATTGTTACAATTGGCTATCTCGAAAAAGTTTGATAAATAATGAGAAGGTTTGTTTATGTGAATCAACTGACATTTATTTGAGCTATGATTTTGTTGTCTATGAATTTCTTATCCTTCTTTTCTTTTATTCCTGGATGTAGGAGCTAGTGAATCAATGGTTTGAGGTTTTTTTTTTTAATTTTTAATTTTTTATATTCTTTTCAATTTCACTAACATAATGCCTTCCAAATGTTTCTTTCTGTTAACCATCCCATACTAAATCCTGTGAACAGCTTATTTTGATTGCAATGATTGTGGATATTTTCTTTGTTTTTTTAAGCATATTCTCTTTATGAACTTCTGGAACCTGCAAAAAGTTAATATGTCAAAGTAGTTTTAATTTTTTTAATCAAAATTTGAGTCCTTTTGTGCCTATTAAGCTTTTTTTTTTGCTTCCACACATCCCCCTCCTGAAATATTGGATATGATATTCATTCAGGGTGCTTCCCTTTTTTTTTCTTTGATAAATGTTTCCCTTGCTTAAGACATCCACTAGTTTCGGGGCAGGACTGGATGGAGAAGACTATGAACCATGTGGTAATACTATTCAGTGCCATGTTAGGTTTGAGAGTTTTGAAACTATTGTAGTAAATAAATAGGTGAAAACTGGGTATTTTATTATTGCTTGTTATGTTACTTATGATTGTGTGGGACTCACTGTGGCAGGAGGATTGGCAAAAGGAAAAACGAGACTTTCTTCAAAGCATGAGCCGAATTTCTACATTACCTAAAACCAATTTGGGTGATTCAAGTACCAGGGGGATTCGTCCAAGTCAAATTATGTCTTTGACTTCAAGCCCACAGGTTTCATCTGGTCAATCTAGCATGGAGCTTGCACCTCTAGCTAATAAGCCTGTCCTTGAGAAAAAAGCTGCAGCCTATGCTGAAGTTGTTAAGAATCTCAATAATGCAAGAGAGCGTAGTTTTCCGTTTAAAGTAAGGCCTTTATTCTTTATTTGTAACTTTAAAGTTCTTCCTTCTATCATCTTAAAACATATTCCTTTTTGTCTTTTCCTTCTCTCCTTGGTTCTTCAGATGAAGCTTGTTAGGGTTTTGATTGCTGGTTAGGTTTTATTTTGGTTATGTTGCTTAGTTGGAGTTGTGGTGGAGGTTGTGAGGCTCATGCCTAATCTTGATCTTCTTGTAGATTTTATTAATTTCATGCATTTGTAAGAACCTTTAGGCCTTTTTGAGTGTTGGCCCCTTTTGTTTCTTTGTTAAAGTTATCATGGTTTAACCTCTTTGTACTTGGGTAGCATTCCCTTTTATGCTTTTTAATAAATTATTACTTACAAAAAAGGTTTTATTTTGATTTAACTAAATGCTTAGAAATCTATGGTATCAACAGATTAATGGTTTGTAATTTGGTGATAGTTAGGAGCTATGAAGCACGGACACGTCCCTGAGGCCTGCGTATGAGCGTCGGACACGGACATGGACACGGACACGTGTCTGACACTCCCTTACGTGCCCCCCTTTTTTTTTGGAATTTTTTCAGTCAGACACGCGGTTGGACACACAAGGACATGTTACAGACACGTAGGTGGATTGAAGAAGCCCTAGAATGGAGAGGAGAAAGAGAGAGAGCCAGAGACAAATCGAGGGGATAGAGAGGGAGAGATTGAGGGAAGAGAGAGACAGATCGAGGGAAAAAGAGAGGGACAGATCGAGGAAAGAGAGAACAAACCCTAACCTGTTCTTCTCTCTTCTTCTTCTCTCTTCTGTCTTCTTGACTTCGTCTTCGTCTTCGTCTTCTCTTCTGTCTTCGTCTTCGTCTTCTCTTCTGTCTTCGTCTTCTTCGCTTTCTTCTCTTCTCTTCTTCTGATTTTATTTATTCTCTCTCCTCCGTTTTCTGTCTCCTTTTCCTTTTTTATCTTCTTTTGTTTTATTATTTATAACCATGTTTTTATTAAAATTTATAAAATAAATTATTTTTATTTGAAAAAAATCAAATTTTATTAAAAAAATTTAGGTAATGTATTTATTAATTTTATTATTATTGTAATTTTATAGGAACCAATATTTTTTTAAAATTTTTTAGATATATAATAAATAAATAAAATTATATATATTAAACGTGTCCCCAGCGTGTCGTGACTCCCATTTTTTGAAATGTCCCGTGTCCGTGCCCATGCATCATAGGTTAGGAGTGTTGCTGGCTGCTTTTTAATGTTGTACTTTAGATGCATGTTGATGTTTCATGTACTCTTCCCCCTCTTCTTTCTTCCTCTTGAAGTTTTCGTGTGGAAATCACTCTGTTGAAGTTGTGTACTATATTCTGTTCGTGATTGTGTCAACCAATTAAGTCAATTACTAAAATTTGCTGGATTTGTGATCAATTTACTATTTTTCTCCTCATTAGCCTGCTACAGTTTTCAAGGGTGCTTATGAGAGTTTGGGCCTTGATGCTTCTGGTGGGAAATCAGTTAGCATGCAGAAGATATGGCATCTAATTCAGGTGCACTGCTTGCTTTCTGTTCTACTTATAGTTTGCTAATTGCTATTCTGGAAACTTATAATTGCATTAGCCATGGTTCTGTTTGTAATGTTTGTAACGCAATTGTTTGTGGATGAATTGAATTATGTGATAGACACTGATGGGTGAGGGCCCAACTGTTCCAAGGGATGTTTCGAAGAAAATGTCTTTAGTAATTGGTGCAAGGCGCCACCTCGAATGGGGGCATGAGAAATATATCATTGATACAATACAAAGTCATCCTGCACAGGTAATAAATTATTTTTAATGTTTGCTTTTCATCCTAGCATCTAATAATTCATTGGTGTACTTTCAGCTTTGAAACTTGTACTCTTGTACTCCTAATGTATAATTCTGTTGCTTCTTCAAATCATCTGTTTGGTTATAGCTAAATGAACTTCCTTGCCATTTGTGCCTTTTGAATTAGTTTTTTGGTGCTTGTGCTTTAGGCTGCTCTTGGTGGGGCGGTTGGCAATTTGCAAAGAATACGTGCTTTCCTTCGGGTTTGTCTGCTGATTTTTTTATTTAACTTTGACGAAGTTGCGCGTGTGACTTGGGAAACAATTTTGTTATCTTTCTGGATTATTTACTTATGCCATCTTCTAATTATTTTTGTATGTGCAGATTCGTTTAAGGGATTATGGGGTTCTAGATTTTGATGCAGGGGATGTTCGTCGGCAGCCTCCTGTTGATACAACATGGCAGCAGGTCTTTACCTCATGATCTTTTTAACTTTTGCTTGAAGCTAACCAAACCAAGCCTTGTGTATTAATTGGGGTTAGCCACAGAAATCATTTTCCGCCATTCCGCTAGGGCAATTTAATTAAATAAATTCATATTATCTTTTACCACAAATCTTCAACATCCCATATGAGTTTAGGTCTTTCAGTTCCCACTTACGGTGATCATATCACTCATCCTTACTGTTGGAACTACTGGTCTTTGTTGTACACGACCAATCCACCTTATTATGTTTTCTCTTATCTTATCTTCATTGGTATTGCTCCTACCATTTTATCTTTTTTTATCTTTCTTTCTTTCTTTCTTTCTTTTTTCTTTTTTTAATTATTTTCTAGTCTTAACACAAATCCATTTTAGCATCTTCATCTAAGTTACACTAATTTTATTAACATGTTTCTTATTGCCCAACATTCTGTCTAGTAAAGCATTGCTGCTCTTAACCTATTCAATAATATTTGCCTCTCAATTTTGTTGGTATTTGTTAATCGCTTAATATGCTGGCAAACATTCATCCACTTGTGTTTAATGAACTTTGATTCTATGGGTTACTTCTCCAACCTCTTCAACCTTTCCATTTTTATTAATAATCGAACCTAGATGACAAAATTGTCCACTCTTTGGTATCTCTTGATTTTCAATCTTCACTTTTTTGCTGTTTCTTCTCGTATCATTACTGAAGTAAGTTCCATATATTTAGTTTTAGTTCTACTTATTTTAAACCTTTTGACTCGCATGCTTCATCCACTGGGAATATCATTTGTGAACAACATACAACATGAGACATCACTCTGAATTTATCTAGTTAATTTATCTATAACTAAGACAAAGTTGTGTCCCTTTCTATAAATAATAAAGTTGTGTCCCTCTCTAATAGGTTAAGTTTTTGGATGAGATTATAGTCAACAATTCAACATGTATCAGAGCAGATAATAGATCATGTATTCAAATCTCACTGCCTACCTAATGATTAGAACACTTTTATGTGTTTGCCTGCTTATCTAAGAGAGTGGCCACACATTAGGGAGCCTGTTGAGGATATAAATAATGAAGGTTGTTCCTCTCGAACAACTTGAGATTTTTAGATGAGATGATGGTCAACAATTCCACAATTCAACATGGACATGACTGCTTGTTTCTAGACCTGTTCTTTCTATAGTTTGCTTGTTTTTTTTTTTTGGCGAGGCATGTTATTTGGCTTTGTTTTTCCTTGCCATAAAATCTTGCATTTGTTCATGATATTGATTTAGAAAGACATGGGAAAGAATTAAAATGCATTTTGAGTTACATTCTAGCTAATTTTTGTTATGGTATAAACCAGAGGAGTTCCATTTGAAGCCAAGTTGAACTTGGAATAGAAAATATACCAATGTTGTGTGTATACAGAAATTATATATTAGGGTGGATTTTTTTTGTCACTAACTCTTTTTTTTTTTTGACAATAGATTTACTTTTGCTTGCGAACTGGGTATTATGATGAAGCGAAAAATGTTGCCTTATCGTCTCGTGTTTCAAACCAATTTGCTTCCCAGGTACCGACTGGTCATTATTATATACACGAGTCTTCTTTTAGTTGTAACCGTTTTCTTTCTGTTTTGGCAGCTTTCAGAATGGGTAACTACTGGAGGAATGGTATCACCAGATTCTGCAGCTGCTGCTTCAGAAGAATGTGAGAAGTTGTTAAGGATGGGTGATCGAGTTGGTCGACCTGCATATGACAAGAAAAAGTTGCTATTATATGCTATAGTATCTGGTTCTCGCAGGCACATTGACCGCCTGCTTAGAGAAAACCCTACACTTTTCAACACCATAGAGGATTTCTTGTGGTTCAAATTGTCTTCTATACGAGACTGTCCGGCAGGGTCTAGTTCTGTTGTCCTGAATGAAGGATATTCACCCTACAGTTTGGATGATTTGCAGATTTACCTAAATAAATTCGAGCCTTCATATTATACTAAGAACGGCAAGGACCCTTTGGTATATCCATATGTTTTGCTCTTAAGCATTCAGTTGCTACCAGCAGTCTTACATTTGTCAAAGGATATGGGAGATGAAGGATATAGTATAGATGCTGTGCATATAGCTGTTGTGCTGGCTGACCATGGGGTCCTTTCTGTTAGTGCTGGAGCAGGCCAAAAACTGGGGGTCATGGATGCTTTTGCTGAGGCAGCTAGCATAATTAGGCAGTATGGATCAGTCTATTTACGTCATGGCAATCTTTCAATGGCATTGGAATATTATGCACAAGCTGCCGCTGCAGTGGGTGGTGGGCAGTTGTCATGGAGCGGGAGAGGTAATGTAGATCAGGAAAGGCAGAAAAGCTTGATGTTGAAGCAACTACTTACAGAGCTGTTGTTACGGGATGGTGGAATTTATCTTTTACTTGGTCCAAGAGGTGCTGGAGAAGAAGCTGAACTGGGAAGGTTTTTGACTGATGTAAAAACTAGACAACAGTTTCTGCTTGAAGCTGCTCGCCAGTGTCAGGAAGCTGGGCTTTATGACAAGGTAATCATTTTTCCTTGTTTTTTTCCTTCTCTATGGGATTCTGTTATTTACATATAGTCTACATTCCTCCAAAATTCAGAACTTTGTTAAATTCTTGAAAGTCTCTGGATGCAACTTTGCCACATTACGTGTTCAACTGGGGGAATAGATTCACTGTTTCATTCTGTACAGTTCCGATTCCCCTTTTAGATATGGCTGAGTCATTTCCCTTTTATTTCTCTTGACATATAAAATAAATATCCTTGCAGGCATCTTTGTAAGGTATTGATTAGAATCCAATTTTATTTGTAGAATAGCTCTTCATGATTCACTTCAAAAACATGAATTCCTGTTAGAACCTGTCTCATCTCTTGATTCATCTCACGAGTTTGGAAATTTTTTGTCTAATATTTGTTGGAAACCATTTTTTTTTTCTTCATAGAACATCAAGTTGTGATTCACTCCAACTATAACCTATCACTTTATTCATCTAAAATGTTCGTTCTTTAGAGAACCTGTATCAGCTCAAGTTTTAGTCTGTCGTGTATTAATTTATATGACTTTGTAATTTTACTTGAGCCTCCATCCTCTTGCTGAGCAATGTTAATTAATTCCATGGAAAATAAGCATTTTCATCATCAGTAAAGCCCTATTGTTCGCATATACATATGGAGAAGCTAGAGGGATTTGCTACTGTGTATTGCGACTTTATTCCACCTTCAACATAGCGTTCATTAAGTTCGCTATTTTTGTTTCCTTTTCCTTTTTTTTTTGCTTTTTATATTTTTGAGGGGCTGCACCATGACCTAATCGTGACAAATAAAAAAGCATATATTATGTGTATAATTCTATATTTGAATGCTCTTTACCTCTCCCTCTCAGTCAAATGGAGTGTTGAAATGCTCATGGGCAACTTTTTACACCCTTTCCTTGTAGAAGTATATGTTGATAAATTATTGTTAGTTGTTGGAATAAAAATAATATATGGTCTTTGAATGTACATACTTAATAATTGGTGAAGCAGTATCGTACATTTATGTTGTTGTTTATTATTAATTTAGATGTCTATTGTTTGGTAATTTTTGTCATCCACCATCCTTCCTCCCATTTATTGGCAATTGATCTTAGCAGTAAAATTGGCATTTTTTTCTAAGTCTTTATTAGTTGTGTGTGTTGTTCACCAGTTTTGAACTTTTGATGTTTGCCTGATTTATTGATTTTCTTCACTTCATTTAACCATCAAAATTCAGTCAATAGAAGTTCAGAAAAGAGTTGGGGCATTTGCGATGGCATTGGATACAATAAATAAGTGCCTCTCTGAAGCAATTTGTGCCTTATCACGTGGTAGATTGGATGGTGATAGCCGGACTGCTGGGCTAATTCATTCTGGGAATGAGGTTTTGGAGACATGCAAGTATTATCCGGAAGTCAGGTCCTTTCAAACTTGACATTTACATTGTGATTTTTTTTTTACTCAATTTACTTTTTTTTATCTATTCATGATTTATGATGAATGCCTTTACTAGAGATTGTTGTCCATGTATCCTTCTGAAAATTGTACCCCATCTAAAAAAAGTCAATGTAACCTTCTGGAAAACTCGGTGGCATCACTGCAAAAGCTTTTATAATATGGACAAGGTTGGAAACTTGGGGGAATGTTTTAGCAGCTGATTGCCTCAAAATTGTTTGTTCTGATTTCAGAACTTCCTCATATTTCAGTTAAGCATAAAAGAACTCAAGTTATCATGCATTTCTGTTTCTCAAATTTATACTGATACTATTTATTTTGAAAAAATAATTACCAAATAAAAAAGGGAGAGCCAATGCACGTGGCACTTGCTAAAACGGGGTTTGGGTGGGGTCAAGATGTTCACAAACTAGCCCCCATTTTTGAAGAGGTTGTCTGTAAAATAATTACCAAATCTTTTTAAATATGTTTACTAAGTGCATATGATTCTACGTCCTATTTCAAATGCATCCCTGAGAACTTTTTGCTTTGTCGCTTGCAATATTTCATGTTACACATTGTGACTGAAAAATCACTTGACATTGACACAGTCATCAAGAGAGAGAACAAGTTTCGGAACAACAAACTGTGTTAAGTCAGCTTGAGGCCATATTGTCTATCCATAAATTGGCGAGAGCGGGATGTCATTTAGATGCACTGAGGGAGGTTGCAAAACTTCCTTTTCTTCCTTTAGATCCACGAGCGCCTGATATTGCAAATGATGCGTTCCAAAATTTGTCAGCCCATGTCCAAGCTTGTGTGCCAGACGTTTTGAAGGTTGCTCTTCATTGCTTGGACAATCTCACAGATTCAGATGGATCACTTCGTGCCTTGAGAACCAAGGTATGTTTGGCAATACAAGTAGATCTTTCTTTCTGTTTTCGTTGTCTGATTTGGGTGCCCTTCTACTTTAGTCATGACTTATGGCTATTCTGGACTTGTTTACTGTTGATAATGATGATGTTCTTCCACGATGAAACACTGCTTATGGAAACTGAATGTTTATTCGTAAAGTAGAACCGTTCTAACATTTCTCTCATTCATGAAAGATACTGTCTTAACTTTACTTTGATGATGAGTTTTCTTGGTGCTGAACCAGCTTTCTGGTATCTGCTTTGAAGTATATTCCATTTGCACGTTGATGATGGTGAGATTTTTTTTTTTGCCCTCTGCAGATTGCGAATTTCCTTGCCAACAATTTGAATAGGAACTGGCCTCGTGATCTGTATGAAAAGGTTGCTCGAAGCTTGTGAAACCATGGCTTTTCCGGCTGTCTAGGTTGGTTACGCATATATGGCTTTTGTACAAAACAGTCAACTTCGGCTAGTCTGTCCATGATGGCCATTTTTGTTGGTGAGATCTTTGTGGTTCTTGCAGATCTCTATAGAAGCTAAGGAGCTTTGATCAGCTCTGTCTTATAAAACTCTCTCTATGTATGTTTTACTCAGTAGCATGCTGTTGTTAATATTGGTAATCCTTCGCTGTTTTCATGATCTGAGGGACTTGCTTTTTAACATTCTCATTTTGGCTGTGGTTTTTATTTTTGTTTACTACATGAAAAAGAGAAAATAGTCTACTGACAATTTAGGCATTGTGTGATTGATTTCGATTGGAGGGGAGATGGATTTTTTAGAGGTGAGTCTATGTATGATTTTTTGTTCATCCTCTATAAAGAAGATAAAACGAGGAAGAAACTACATCAGAAACTTCTACATGTTACACACGGATAACTAATCTTTAGCTTACTCAAAAAAAAAAAAAAAAAACCAGCTTGTGACTTGACTAGAGAATGCCCACTTTCTAGCAAAAATTGACTCTCGTGGGGTGAACAATATCGGTCCCTCCTTTCGTGTTAAGAATCACAAGGTTTGGTCTTTTTATTTAAAATTTTTGCATATCAAGATGGAGAAAAGGGAAAAAGACAGTTCTTGTAATAAGATTATGCACTAAACATTTTATGTACCTCTCCTTTCATCTTAAGAATCACAAGGTTTGGTCTTTTTATTTTAAATTTTTGCTTATCAAGATGGAGAAAGGGGAAATACACAATTCTCACTAAACATTTCATGTATGGTGCAAAATTTCAAGTGAATGAAATTATACAAGGGTAAGATATTGGCATTTTGATGAATCGAGTTGTTGCCATCAATTTTTTCAAAGGTTGCTGCTGTCTATCCCATCTAATTTTGTTGCCTCTCATGCCTTTATATGTGTTTATTACAATTTTACTTTCATAAAATTCTAATTTTATTTTCATTTTTAACCTCCTAACCCCTGATTCTACCCTACCCTACTCCACTGGCAGCTTTGGCCTCTCCCTCACCTCACCTATCTCCATCTTCGACCACTGTCATCACCCCCTTCCCATCTTCCATCTTGTTTTGCCTCTCCCTAATCCATTTTTGTCCCTTTTACTCCCTTCTCTCTCTCTAGCGCACTTTCTTTGTGTGATGAAGGTTGTGAGGAACAGGTTAGAAGTTGGAAGGAGAGGGCACTAGAGATTGTGAGGGCTAGGAATGGGACAACAGAAGGTTGGGGGGTGGCAGGAAAGGAGTTGTTGGAGATGTGGGAGGTGCCGAGGAAGTGGTTGTCTAAGAATGGGGTGGCAAGGATGAAAGTTTAAAGCAGGGTATAATTGAAATATAATAGGTGTTAAAAAAAAAAAGAGGGAATTAATTTTGATGGATAAAAAATGTCCAAAGAAATTGATTTTTTTAACCAAACAGCCCACAACATTACAAACAAACATTAGTCTTCTTCCTTTCCCTTCTCTCATCCTCACCCACTTTTCCACTGGTAGCATCACTACCATCACCTCATATTCTCTCTCTCTCTCTCTCTCTAATCTTTACACACATTGAGAGGGTAATTTTTGGTGAAAATTGGGCCGAGCTATGAAATAGACTTTATGGCCCCAAAGTACGAAGGACCAGGTAAAATGGGCCGAGAAGTTACTCCGGCCCATGAGAAATAAAGTTACTTCGGTCAAAAGAGGTGAAGTTACTTCGGCTCAGGAATTGTAAAGCTACTTCGGTTTGGACAACTTGAGTTAGTCCGGTCTCCGAGTTAGTCCAGTCATGACGTATTCTGGATAGATCGGTCAAGACCTTGCTACTCGGTAGCTAGGTCCCAACATATCATGGTTCATGCATGAGAGAACCGAGATGAGGAGTGAAAGGAAGGGCCGAACTAAGGATAGTTCGGCCTACCTCGTGGCTCAGCTTAGCTAGTTTACTTCGGTTAAATAGTAGTTCGGCCGTAGTTAAAACCATCCCACTTGGTTTAAGCAGTGGGGGGTGTAAAAGGATAAGCATTATCCTTTAGGAGTATGAATCCTAGAAGGACTCTGCATGGAGAAATAACAGTCCTATTAGGATTGTGCCACTCGAAACCTATAAAAGCTCACAAGCATCATCTTAGAGGAGGTAACATAACACAATATACAATTTTGCTTCTCGAATACATTGAGTTTTGTCTATTTGTCAAGTTTTCTGACTTAGACATCGGAGAGGTTTCCGGCACACACCCGCCGGCTAGCTCACGTTTGTGTTTTCAGGTGACAAAGTGACATCGTACGGAGAAGCGTGGACTTAGTCAACAGGATTATACGAGGATGAGGGCTAGGAATGGGACAACAGAAGGTTGGGGGGTGGCAGGAAAGGAGTTGTTGGAGATGTGGGAGGTGCCGAGGAAGTGGTTGTCTAAGAATGGGGTGGCAAGGATGAAAGTTTAAAGCAGGGTATAATTGAAATATAATAGGTGTTAAAAAAAAAAAAAGAGGGAATTAATTTTGATGGATAAAAAATGTCCAAAGAAGTGGATTTTTTTAACCAAACAGCCCACAACATTACAAACAAACATTAGTCTTCTTCCTTTCCCTTCTCTCATCCTCACCCACTTTTCGACTGGTAGCATCACTACCATCACCTCATATTCTCTCTCTCTCTCTCTCTCTCTCTAATCTTTACACACATTAATTGCAAGCACACAACCTTTTCTCCTCCAATCTTACGCCCACCTTTCCATTCAACCAAATTAGAATAACTTAGCTTCCATTTGTTTCAACTTAAAATATTTTACACAAAAAAATATTTTTTTTGTAAATTAATTTTACATAAATTTTTTTTTATTTTTCAACATTTGATTTACATTTAAAATAAAAATATTTTATTATTTAAAAGAGAAATTTTGATTCAATAAAAGATCCTTTATTATTTTTTAGTGAGCTATAGTCCTTACCACTTCCATCTCCTTATTATCCATAGACTTTGTTTGCTTGTTTGCTTGTTTTTTTTCGTGGGCATAGCTTCTCTCTCTATATTATATATATATATATACGAATAACGCTATATGTACTAATTAATGTACTAACTAGTATACAAATAGATTATGTGACATAATTTTTGAGGTTTTGGATATTTGTGATTTGTATAATAGGTGGGGTCAGTGATAATGGCATAATACTAGTTAATACACTAGTGTGTACATTAGTTGATTCATGTAGTACCACTGTATATATATATATATATATATTGAGAGGGTAATTTTTGGTAAAAATTGGGCCGAGCTGTGAGATGGGTTTTACGACCCAAAGTACGAAGGACTGGATAAAAAGGCCCAATGGAAATGTAAAAGTTATTCCGGTCCAAGAGTAAGAAAGTTACTCCGGTTCAAGAATAGTAAAGTTACTTCGGCCCAGAAGAGATGTTGAGTTACTTCGGTCCGTACAACTTTTCTAGTAAGGCCGATCTCAGAGATAGTCCGGCCATGATGTATCCTGGGTAGGTCGGTCGGAATGTTGCTACTCAGCAGATCGGTCCAACCACATCATGGTTCGTGCATGAGAGAACCGAAATATGATCTAGCAAGAAGAAGAACCGAACTACTGTTAGTACGGCCTACTCCGTGGCTCGGTATAGCTAGTATTATTTCGGTCATGCGGTAGTTCGGCCATAGTAAAAACCATCCCACTTGGTTTAAGCAGTGGGGGGTGTAAAAGGATAAGCATTATCCTTTAGGAGTATGAATCCTAGTAGGACTCTGCATGGAGAAATAAAAGTCCTACTAGGATTGGGACACTCGAAACCTATAAAAGCTCACAAGCATCACTTTGGAAGGAGGTAACATAACACAACATACAATCTTGCTTCCTGAATACATTGAGTTTTGTCTATTTGTCAATTTTTCTGACTTAGGCATCGGAGAGGTTTCCGGCATACACCCGCCGGCTAGCTCACGTTTGTGTTTTCAGGTAACAAAGCGACGTCGTACGGAGGAGCGTGGACTTAGTCAACAGGATTATACGAGAAGGCATATTTCTTTCCCGTACATATATATATATATATATATTGGGAGCTTTTTTAATAAATCCCCTTTCTAAGAGTTTTATTCCATCTAATCCATATTCTTTTTTACTATTCCATTAGATCTTATTTGAAGTAAAAAAACCAAAACAACCTCAATCTCTCCTGCCCCCATTAATGTTGATATTTAATGTTGATTGTCATTATGTTTTGGTAGTTCTCATGTATCAGGATGTTGACTGTCATTATATTCACATAATTGTGATAGAGACCCTTACACATACATGACCTCCACAATCCCCACTATCATCCCAATCACTCGTAATGTGGGGCCCACACATACGTGAGTGGACTCCACACATACATCAAGGCCAAGATCAAATTGAGAGTCATGGAACTCCCAAAAAAGGGGGTCCCAAACATTTTCTATAATTTGAAAATGAATTTTTGTCATTGTGTTGTCAATTACATAATATAAATGTTCATAATAAAATATACGAATGTGAATGTTCATATGAATTCTGGAATATAGATAAAGACACCATGATCATGGTGAAATCAATAACATATCAAACTACTATTTCAATATTTTTTGAAAAAAAAAACAAAAAAAACAAAAAACAGAGGGTTCACATCTTTTGAACACCATCAATACCAATAGCAACTACAATCACAAAAAAGGGAAAAATAATATATTATCACTACTTAAAAATAAGAATGTTCAAATGTTGTAAACATTCACATCACTGCATTAGATGATAGAGAATTTTCCGAAAAAGTGTTGTGAAGATTCGCATAAGATGAGAGAGAAAGTACAAAAACATGACAGCATCAACAATGCATTAACTACACACCACTATTTTTGTTACATTAATTTGAAAATGAATTTTTGTGATTGTGTTGTCAATTACATGATGTGAATCTTCATAATAAAATAAACGAATGTGAATGTTCACATGAATTATGGAATATAGATAGAGATACCATGATCATGGTGACATCAATAATATATCAAACCACCATTTCATTATTTTTTGCAAGAACAAAAAAACAAAAAACAGAGGATTCACATTCTCTAAACACCATCAACACCAATAATAACCACAATCACAAAAGGGGAAAAATAACATATTATCATTGGTTAAAAATAAGAATGTTCACATATTGTGAATGTTGACATCACTACATTAAATGATAGAGAATTTTCTGAAAAAGGTGTTATGAACGTTCACATCAGATGAGAGAGAAAGTACAAAAAAATAAAAATGTTCATATGTTGTGAACGTTCACATCACTATATTAGATGAGAGAACGTCCACATCACTACTTTCTCTTTCAATTACATGATATGAATATTCATAATAAAACATACAAATGTGAATGGTCACGTGAATTTT